TACTAGGTAAGGTATTATAAAACTTTTATACCTTTGCTTACGTGCATGGATTATAATGTATTTACGTTCCGTTGTACCAGAAGATATACAAGAAGATATGAATGAGGGGGGGGGTGATTAGTGTCTGATAAAATAACATCTGCTAGGAGTTTGCAGGACTTTAGGTGTCTATCTACAATCATATTATTAATGACCTCAAAAGATCCAGTTATTAGGTTACACTGACTTAACGAGAATATTTGTTGAGATTATAATCTATGGATGATTTTTGAATGATTGTTAAGTGGCCTTGATAATTTCTACCTATTTACTAAGGTTAAATGAGCATTAAAAATTGGTGTAAGGAGCTGAGATTTAAATGTACAGTTAGTCGTTAATGTAAGAAATCAAAATTAAAGTTTCCATCACGAAATAACATCAACCATAAAGCCAAAATTCTATTTAACCATATGGATAAATGAATTTTGCACCTGAATCCAAGATCTTGTATCTTAAATCTGATTGGTTTGTTCGTAAATTAAAGTCTTGCTGTTATGTTTATATAGTTTTTTCAGATCATAAATCAAAATCAAATATATTTTGACAATTGTTTATATGGTTTGCAAAATGCAGTGATATCACGATCTTGTGAATTTTAAGCTGTTTGAAAGAAGTAACGAAACAAATACTTTGAGATGTGTTGTTCTATGAGTCAGGTGAAATATACTTTATTCAGTTGCAGTAATGAATATTATGACTACCATAATGTAAGTTAAAATCACTATATTTCACGAAGTTTTTGCAACCTGTAGAATACTTTGGAAATTTTTCACCATAAAATATGAAATCAACAAATTAACCGTTTATGCTACTCATGAAGTATGATTTTGAAATAGTAATACGATAGTTAAGTTCATTGGTCGACCTAAGCTAAACCGCTATTGAAAACTTGAAAACCTTGGACGGCCGTTTCATCCTAGTACGGGACATTTTAGTAGTGCGCATCTACTGTCTCTCATGAGAGACTCGAATCTAAGACAGTGTGTCTCGCACGCGAACGCTTAACCTCTGTATCACTGAGCCGGCACCCAACGGTGTTAATCTGTTACTTCAATCAATCTACGATCTTGTGCAATCTTTCGTCCATTGTCTGAGGTGGATGACTGTCTCATACCCGACACGATTAGACCCCATTGATCACTGCTTCTCACGGCTGTCTAGCGCTTCCAGGTTTTCAGTGGTGGTCCAGCTTAGATCGACTCGTGGATTCAATTGTTAAAAAATATACTACAATCTTCACAAATCGCCATACCGATATACAGTAGTTGTACACTTACATCGTGCAACTTTAAGGATAAGAGATTCGGATTATTCTGTGATACATATAGATGAAATAAATGATTTCATCATTATAATTTGACTACCACACTGTGGAATGAACCCATTTTGTTAGATGAAACTTACTGATCAATATATGAATGAAGCGTCAGTGTTATTAATCTAGGAACTAATTATTTTATGTTTTAGTCCCTTAAGGAAATAATTGGAAAGCTGGTTTAACAGAGATTTATATAATCACTCTTTAGCATATTTCATTTGAAATGATTTCTACAGTTTGTTTTAGTGATTGATAAAAAAATCATTTAGACCTTATCATGTTAGACTGTACTTAGTCGTTTGTTTTTCAGAAATTAATAGTTGTTTATGACAATGACAGATATCCATTGTGTCATTGTAAGAGAAAGACAATTTATCAAACAAAATTCTGTTTTCGACAATTTCATTTACTTAAAATATACAACTATACTCATAGTTAATTCATTTGCTAAAAATAGTAGCTTAATTGTTCATCAAGTAGAATATGGAGAGAATGTATACTTCTAGTTGAAGTAGATTTTGTATTATGTAAACTGAATTAATCCATTTTTAAAATAATCCTTATCAATGTTCACTTTTATTACATTATTCTTACAATTTTCACATAACCAAGTTAAATGTTGGTATCATCCACCGATACTTATAACTGAAGATTGTGAAATATTATATCCCAATAGTTGAAATCACTAGTCAGTTGGAGCTGGACAACCATGGAAAACCTGGAAGCACCGGACAGTCTTTTCATCCCGGTATCTGAGTGTTCAGTAGTGCTCATTTACGATCTTGCCCCGTGGGTTTCGAACCCAGGACCTATCAGTCTCACGTGCGATCGCTTAAACTCTAGTTCACGGAACCGACATCAAACAGTGTTAACGTCTAACTTCAAACAATCCACGAAATCGAGCCACACATCCACCATTGTCTTAAATGAGTTACTAGCTCACAACAGATGTGGTTGAACTCCACTTGTCACAGCATCTCACTGGAACTCCAGGAAATATATTGACACCGTTGAATGCTGGTTCATTGGTTTAGAGGTTAAACGCTAACACACAAGATCGATAGGCCCTGGTTTCAAATCCCACGGGGAGGGATCGTGGCTGCGCACTACTGAGGAGTTCCACGATAGGACAAAACAGCCGTCCAGTGCTTCCAGGTTTTCCATGGTGGTCTAGCTTCGATTGACTCATGAATTACACTATTAAATTACTCTAATATCCACAAAAACCCATCTCCGACATTATCATATTTTTATTATTTTACAAAATAAATTGCGTGATTCTACCAAATGAACAACTATTACATCTGCCTTAACTAAGTATAAATCAAAAAATTCATTTAGAACTTCTTATGGCATCATCATAATTGTGTTTATACAAGTAAACTCATAAAACACGAATAATTTAGGAAACACCTTGTTACTTTTACAAATACTTATGGAACGGATGATTAGTTTATTGATTTATATTAGTTCAATCAATAAATGATACTTTGGATCACTCTTAATATGAACGTTTTCACTAACAAGTATTTTTCAATGTTATTCATACGATTGTTTATTGACTGATATCAACAGTATATATTATTCTGAAGCGGTAAACTTGAGATTACTATGAAATTAAGCGTAAGGATTAAACTTTTCCGATAATTCTTGATCAGACAAAAGAAAATCCAGTAGAAATATAATATATTTGTAACATCCTAATCCATAGAAAAATTAAGTTTTCTTTAATTTTCTGAAGTTTTGTAAAATTATCAAGTTAAACATTTGTAATGAAACAAACGAAAGAACTTTAAAAATATGGATAATATTCATCAAATCAATGAGCTGTTCTGTCGAAATAGTTTGTGTTTACGATATCGTTTACTCATGGTTTCAATATGTCTCTTAAGTCAAACATTTATAATATGCATCACATAACCTCTTGTTTGATAGATATAATATTTTCAGAAGGGGTTTTGTGGAGATTTTAGTAATTTCAATAGTTGAAATCATGGGTCAATTGAAGCTAGATTTGGGGTTCCAGTGCGATGCAGTGACAAGTGGAGTTCAACCACATCTGTTGTGAGCTAGTAACTCATTTAAGACAATGGTGGATGTGTGGCTCGATTTCGTGGATTGTTTGAAGTTAGACGTTAACACTGTTTGATGTCGGTTCCGTGAACTAGAGTTTAAGCGATCGCACGTGAGACTGATAGGTCCTGGGTTCGAAACCCACGGGGCAAGATCGTAAATGAGCACTACTGAACACTCAGATACCGGGATGAAAAGACTGTCCGGTGCTTCCAGGTTTTCCATGGTAGTCTAGCTTCAATTGACTTATGATATCGACTATTAAATTAAAAATGTATTAGACAAACTGTTAAGCTATATATGGATTCGTCATACAACGTGTTTGTTTATTTTAAGGAGTAATTAGAACTTTTTTAAAAAGTCAGAATATACACGTACGAATAATGTATTATAGTAATGTAATTTAGATGTCTGATTTAAGAAATGATCGACAAATCAAAATTGTAGTTTATTTTGATAAGTAATAATAGGTGAACAAAAATATATGAATCACCATATAATTTAACACCACTATTATGAAAAATAAAGAATATTTACATTTACCACAAGACATTATAACTGAATTGTCATTTTCATCGTTTTCTTCTATTAATGAATGTTTGAAGTTGAATTAACTTCGAATTATAGCTTGAACTATAGTTGTTTAAGACTTTTTAAATTACTTTAGAGAATAAACCTACACAAGCATTGGTTACTTGAATTCCATGAGGCAAACATTATCGTTTTTCTAAACCTTGATCCTTACATATTTAATAAACGGAATACACCCATTATGACATTAAATAAGAAAGAAAGATTAGTTCAGCGAAGAGTTCTCTTTTCGGCGAATTCATTTTCAAAGCTGTACAATCGCAAATATATATACTTATTTTTACAGGGTGATAATAATACTGATAATAAACTTATGATATACATGGTGACGGTGAGGTTAAATAAACAAAGGTATTAGAAAAAATTTTTTAAAACAAGGAAAGTTTGATAGTTAATGGCTTAGATATTCATCGGGTAAGAGTAGCTCAGCATGATAAAATAACATAAAATACGGAAACAGAGATGAAATGTAATCGGAATGATCGTTGAAATAAAAACAAACCGGTTGGGGGTACAAGATTTGAAGGGAAGATGGAAGGTGAAGCAGGTGGCTGTAAAAGAACAAGAGTAATGAGAAAGAGAAAAATTTTTAATACATTAAGACCATGGTAAAAGAAGAGGATGTATCAGTCTCTTTTGTACACATAATTCTGGTTTTTCAAAATGTATGGCTATTGCCTCGGCAATGCAAAGAAGATGTAGTCTAATTGTCTTAGGAAGGCTTCTACTTACCTTGTAGATGACTTTGAACGCAGAGTCTGTCTTGATTGAGTGACCTGTGTTCACAAGGTGTTCGATTATAGAACTTCTTATTGAGCCGCTGCCTCCTCTCCTTAGCCACGCCGGACAATGTTCTTGAATTCTTCCTTACATATTTATCATATGCATAAAACTAAACGATTTAGCTTAAGGTTTTGATATTTTTGATCCGTTAATTAATGTTTTAATTGAGAATTTATCTTTGCCAAACCATTTATAGATGATGATGATGATGATGATGATGATGATGATGATGATGATGATGATGATGATGATGATGATGATGATGATGATGATGATGATGATGATGATGATGATGATGATGATGATGATGATGATGATGATGATGATGATGATGATGATGATGATGATGATGATGATGATGATGATGATGATGATGATGATGATGATGATGATGATGATGATGATGATGATGATGATGATGATGATGATGATGATGATGATGATGATGATGATGATGATGATGATGATGATGATGATGATGATGATGATGATGATGATGATGATGATGATGATGATGATGATGATGATGATGATGATGATGATGATGATGATGATGATGATGATGATGATGATGATGATGATGATGATGATGATGATGATGATGATGATGATGATGATGATGATGATGATGATGATGATGATGATGATGATGATGATGATGATGATGATGATGATGATGATGTGATGATGATGATGATGATGATGATGATGATGATGATGATGATGATGATGATGATGATGATGATGATGATGATGATGATGATGATGATGATGATGATGATGATGATGATGATGATGATGATGATGATGATGATGATGATGATGATGATGATGATGATGATGATGATGATGATGATGATGATGATGATGATGATGATGATGATGATGATGATGATGATGATGATGATGATGATGATGATGATGATGATGATGATGATGATGATGATGATGATGATGATGATGATGATGATGATGATGATGATAGGCCTCATATAATCATCTCAGCTTTTGGCAAATGGAAAACCTATTGCAACCAACCTAATGATCATCACACAAATACATGGATAGCCTACCTATTCCGCCCTTCAAATGAAAAGCCGTTAAATTATATCTGAAATTAGCATAAGTCCGATTATGCAAATTCTATGCATATTAAGTGAATGTGTTTTACTTTCAGAATCTACTGTTTTATATCAGGTTTTGTAGCATGTCCGAATTCAGTGTAATCAAAAATGTTAGTTTGGATTTCTAATACAGAAAATTACTTGGTAGTGACTAGTATTATTGTAATTATTATGCATACTAGATAAATTTAGATTTCTTATTCTGGATAAACCCTCAAATTTACCTTCATATATTCTGTTTGTTTCTATTCCACAACTGAGACTCAATAAACTTGAAAGTATGATACTTTGTTGTATTCTCATATGAAAGCAGTTATTAATTAATATTAATTCAGAATTATGCTACTTCTATAATCGTATCATGCCTAATTAACAACAGGGTACAAATACAATTAAACAAAGTGTCAATTCCAAGTCTACAGGTATTCATCTGCGACTTGAAAAAATCAATATTTTAATAAATAAGTGTTTGGGAATTGATAAGTATTTTTGATATGTTCATAAACTATTGGTCGATCACGTTCTTAGTTGAGGTGACAGCTATAAATTTCTTTATTGAGTCATCAGCATTCACTTTATCTAGTTTTCATGTTGTTTTAAAATGTTATTATTTTTATAAACTGCTTAAAATAATGTAGTTCATTTTCTATATGAAACCATTTGTATTTGTATTAGTTACATCATATATTTAATGGAATCAGTAATATTACATTCAGCAACTGAAGGTTGTACTATGAACAGAAACTACATAAACCTACTTATTGATGACATGTAAGATGGAATCTACTAATTAGTTTCATATGTTCAATACTGACAATATATCTTCCTGACTTTACAAATGACGCTTTGTTAACATCGATGCAGCCAAGGATTTTGTGAGTTATACACTCGTATATATATATATATATATATATATATATATATATATATATATATATATATATTGCACCATGGAACGGTCACTCATCCATAATCTTAAACACGAATTATTTGTGCTAGGACAACATAAACCTCAAGATTTTGAAAAATATTCCATTAAAATCATTTATTAAAAATCATTTTGTCAAATTTCGTATTACAATCCACCAATCGCTATTAAGCATGCCTCCAGAAGTTTACTTCACCACATAGTTTCTCATTTTATCACCGCAACATTTTAAGTTACGGATAAAAAATGATATTAGATTACGTGAAAATTGATTCAATGGATTTAAGACGACAGTTGATACATAGATGCCATTTTTTAATGGATCATTTGTAAACAATTCTGTTTACTGTTCGAATATACTTTCAGATGGTGATTGCTGTCCCCTGAGTGATACCATACAACTAGCCTTCTTCATGTTTTGAAAAAGAGTACTGTTACCAAACGTTCAATATACTTTAACCAAAAGCTGAATAATGTATTTTTTAGAGCTGGGAGGCAGAGTTCCTTTCTTAGTATTATATGTCTAAAGAAAGACCTACGTTTAGTATAGTTTCAGAACAAACAATAAATTATTCAGATTTTAGCTCTCAATAGATTACAGCGAACTCACCTATACAGAGTGATGATATTGATCGTATAAGGATGGGGTTTGCGTCTATTTGCTTATCTTATATGATCACATTTGTTTAAACGTTTCGATGTCAGTTTGAAGTCAGACAGTTGATAAATTTGTTTTGAAACCTAATATATGCATAAAGAAGGAATGGGTTGTATTTACGGGCGTAAAAGCAACCCTATGACTCAGTTTTGTATTGTTGAATGGATCCTAACTATAAACCCCGTCAAAGATTTATTACATAAAATTACGGAGATTCTTAGCATTGTCATGAGACCGCAACTAAGATGCCATTTCGTGAGTAAAATGATGGGTTGTACTTGGAACTGAATATTGCAACGGTAGACAACTGATGAATAATAACTCTTTTTACATCATGTTAATAAACACTACGACATCGCCTGAATTTTACAGTAATCTGCTTAGCAATAATATGTAATCGTTTTCTATATGTGCGTAGTGATAATAAAGTTGTTCAACATAACTGGTTAATTAACAATCCACTCGTTGAAATAATCAGACGGTTAGAATACAAACGTGGTTTTTATTATTAAAAATTATGTCTTTAAAGCAAAATCAAATGCAACAATTTATTCAAGATTCTCAGCGGAATACATCATACAGAAATCACGCACTTTTACATTGAAAAAACACTGAACCAGATGATTTCAGCGTACATAAGAAATTAATTTATAAAATACAGATTCATAAATGGATCTTTATAAATGTAATTCGCTTTTCTTTTGCAGATGTCATGAACTGATTGTCAAAGAAGAAACAAAAATTACACTTTAAACATATCGAATTATTTTAAGAATGAATATCTAAAAGCTTTTAGTGTAAATGCCTAGTGAAAATTCAAAATACAGACGAATATATAATTTATACCGATGAAAATTGCAGAGGGTTGAAAGATAAACATAGTCACGTAGGGCTTTTCATTTAATACAGTTTTATTGTATTTTCAGTGTTTTGACTTTGAGCATCAGTTTAGAAATATTGTGTCAGAATAAAGCGTCTTAAAGTAATCGTATATTTACAATGTAATAAAGCAGTCTGTGTAGAGTAGCACAGGAATATTACTTAGAAGAAGCTGATATATTCACAAAATATTTATCTAAATACGTATTTTATTTTCAGAAAATTCTAATATAAAAGAGTGTTAAAGATACGTTAGTAAAAATTTATTGACAATACTCTTGTAGGTTGTCGTTTATTCAATAGTTTCAAGTGTCAACCAAAACGATAAATATAGAAGAGCTAGGCATTTTATGAATAGATGTGCGACAACTATGTTGCAAACATTACAAACACTGGTTTGAACATTACTACTGTCCACTGAAATTGTTGCAAAAAGGACTAAGGAGGAGCAAGTTTGTCTTGTTTTTGTAAGGTCGGTTCTTCTTAACTAAAAGATGACAAAACTCAAACATTGTGTGAGATTATAAATATGTAGCTCATTGAATAGTTTTATCATGTAGGAAAATTGAAGTGTATCATACCATATAATTAAAATTTTATCCAAATATTTGAGAATGTCTACGTGATATCAATCTGAGCCCAACAATCTCTACATGAGCTCACCACTGACTAGCTTCGAAATGAATTTCCTGAAGTTCTAGTAAGAAACTGTGACCAATAGAGTTCATCCGTGTTTGTTGTGAGATAGTTATTCACTGAAGACAATGATGGATGTTTCACTCAATTTTGTGGATTGGTTGAAGTTAGACAACAACATCGTCGGATGCCGGCTCATGGTCCAGATATTAAGCGATTGTGTGCGAGGCTGAAAGTCTTGGGTTCGAATATCGCGTGCGGGATCGTGGATACACACTGTTGAGAAGTCCCATACTAAAACTCTTTGGCCATCCAGCGCTTCCACGTCTTCAATGGTGGTCTAACATTGATCCATTCATGATATCAATCCGAGCGTAACAATCTTCACAACCACTTACTGATAAAAATATATGTTGTTGATATTATTGAAACTGGATTTCATACTTTCTCATGCTTAGATTTCCAGTAAAAATATAAGTAAATAAGCACATTTCAATCATTTCAACAATGTTTGTCATAAAACGAAAGATAATTATAAATGAATATTTCTATTCAGAGCTAATTTCATTATATCGATTCATATGGTTATAAAAAGACGAAATAACAATTTAAGAGAAAGCCAATGAAATTTAGACAGAAAAAGAATGACACTTGTTTTCATATACTGAAATAATAGTCAATCAAATACTTTTGTATATTTGCGCAATACATTTCGAACAATCCGATCACACATATTATGTTGCTATTTAGAGGTGACACAGATACTCTCATGTTGAAACGGAGACTTAAATTTGCCATCAACCGGATATTTTATGCAGCTCAACTTGTCATCATTGAAAAGACAAGGTCTGTGTTTCACTAAAAGCCCATACAACACGTAAGCAATTGTATCACATCCCATTGTGTCTATCAATTTACATGTATGTGCGGAAAACATGTACATCGTAATTTAGAATTAAGGGTAGGTGAACACATACCAAAATGACTGCAGAAGCAAATGAATTCCAATGGTCAAATAAGATCACAGGATAGACAGACATCATCCTCCATTGTGACACATTTGATTGAGATTGGTCATAAGGTTGACATCAGAACAGCATTTGTACTGTTACACAAAAGCCTTCAAGGACGTATACTAAGGTTTATTGAAGCCTTGGCTATACAGAAATTGAAACCTCCTTTATGTGTTCAGAAACAATTTGTCCTTACACTTAATCTACCCTGGTAATACTGATTTATTATCGAGTGTGGTAATCATATTGTTTTTGTGCACTTCAATATTTTTCCTTTTACTTACCCTTAACCTATCTAGTTGACCTTTTAATTTCATATAAAAATGTTCTTAACAAGTATATGTGTGATGAGATTGTTCGAAATGTATTGCGCAAACATATCACATAATTCTGATAAACTTAGCCTTCTCATTGCATTATCGAAATATATCAAAGGGACTAAATGTTTTAAATAAATACAGTAAAATTTCTTTTATATAAAGAATAAAAAAAGTATTGACTGTTTTATGTTAATATATTGATTTAATAAAATGCTTCAAATGATAACGTAAACGATTTACTACTTTTGAATGATTACAGTACTAGTAATGTTCTTAAACCATCAGGTGTCGAATTAAAGTACTTTCGGCAAGATCAATCAGATTTAAGATAACAGGTCTTGGATTTTGGCGCGAAATTCAATCACCCATTTGGTGAAATAGAGTTTCAGTATTATAGCTGATGTCAGTTTGTGATGAAAACCCTAAATCTAATTTCTA